ACTCCGTGATTCACCACTGAATTTTAAATACTTACCCTAGATCTCCTTTTTCTTCAGGGTACATAATTTTTTTAAGGCAACCCCCCCCCTTTGTGCTTTTATGAACAACCCCTTAGAACCATCTGCTGTGAAAGGTATCACCCCTGATTCCCTTCTTACTACCGTTCATTCTGTTTTCAGCCCCATTGGGGATTTGCAGAATATATTGATTCAGTAGGCTTTGGCATCCTCCCAAGGAGAGAGCTACAGAACTAGTTATGTATTAAAGGTCAATATTTGAATATAATATTTTGATAACTGATAGTGCAAATATGATTCATATCTTCTAAGTAACAAACATGTTTTAATATTATATTCACAATATTCATATAAATTTGAAAAGTTTAGATAGTTACTGAAATTGGATACAGAAGAAAGCAGTATGTGTTAGGTCACCTGTTTAATTGGACAAGACAAAGACAGGATGTGATGTAGGCTATGGTACATTTTCTGGTGTTTTGGTGTTTTAATGTTTCATAACTAATATTGGAGGAAGTGTGTATTGTCTAATGAATCTCCCTATCACAACATTTTGTGCAATCTGAGTTCATCATCAGCCTGGAAACTCTGTTGAAAGCAAGAATTGCATATTTTGTTTAACAACCCAATAAATACTATTGACTTACTAAGTAATATTTAGATTAAAATATGATTTCTTATTTTCTTTTCATGAGTCATTTCTTATTCTATCATATTGCTCCTCTTCTCAGTCACTTTTCTTTTCCTCAGGTATTTGGGAAAATTGGTCTTATTAATATCCTTCAAAAAAAGTCAGAGGCCTGTGTACACATTCCATAAGTACTCTATTTATTCTCATTTTCAGATGTAACACTTAAAATGAATGATGAATGAATTCATCATTGTATTCATTCAATTGTATTCATCGTTGCCCCAAATTGGAAATAAACCAAAATGCTCCTCAACTGGAGACTGGATACACCAAGAATGGGGTGTCCATACAATGGAATGCCACTCAGCAAGAAAAGGGAACACATTATTGATACGAGCAACAACATGGCCGAATCTCAGGTGCATTATGCCAAGTGAAAGAAGCCAAACTCAGAAAGATATATACTCTCTGATTCCATTTATATGGCATCTAGAAAAGGCAAATGAATAAAATATTATATATTTTATACATATTTTATATATTCAGACAATATATATAAAATATATATTTTATAGGGGCACCTGGGTGGCTCAGTCAGTTAAGCGACTGCCTTCGGCTCAGGTCATGATCCTGGAGTCCCGGGATCAAGTCCCGCATCGGGTTCCCTGCTCTCTCTCTCTCAAATAAATAAATAAAATCTTTAAAAAATATATATATATATTTTATATATTCAGACAAATGAATAAAACACCGTTCACAAAATGTCCATGTGGATTGTAAAGGGCTGACGACACGTATTTATGACTCTTTGTTTAGGTTAGACTGGGATGGTATTCGTAAGCAGTTGGATGAATACGCAATAATTGCAAGCTCTTCAAAAGGAGGGAGAATCGGAATTGAAGAATTTGCAGAGTATTTGAAGCTGCCTGTTTCAGATGTCCTGAGACAACTCTTCGCACTCTTTGACAGGGTACGTTAAAACATCATCTCTAGCACGCAAACGTCTCTTTTTTTAATTAAAGATTTTTATTTATTTATTGAGAGAGAGAGAGAATGATAGAGAGAGAGCATGAGAGGGAAGAAGGTCAGAGGGAGAAGCAGACTCCTTGCTGAGCAGGGAGCCCGATGCGGGACTCGATCCAGGGACTCCAGGATCATGACCTGAGCCGAAGGCAGTTGCTTAACCGACTGAGCCACCCAGCCACCCCATAGCACGCAAACATCTTTACTCTGCCGGTCTCCATGGAGCATAAATCAGTATGGCATTAGAAGAATTGGTAGGTGACTATTAGAGAAAGCAAGACTGAGCCCAGGTTTAATTTCAAGATCTGGTTTTTCCCCTGTAGTAGTAGTAGTAATATAATTGTGTGTGTGTGTGCGCGCGTGCCCATGTGTGTGTTGCAACAATTATGATGGTATCTAGTTATTTTAAACATCAGGTCAGAAATAAATATTGCAACCATAAAACCATGTTTGTTATATAGAATTGGAAAGGCTTCTATAACTGGCGAGAACTTAAATCTTTATGTCAAAATTCATCCATTGATGACAGGCGTGGTACTATTCTATCCTGAAGGCTTCTGGACTTCCCCCAAAATATGTGAGGACCAAGTAGATTTTATTTGCAAGTAACCTTTTATGACAAGGTTTCAGTTAAACCTTGACTGTTCGCCATTTATGAATATGTAAGTACAGGCAGATACCTGAACTGTCAGAAAGTTTCCTTAGGAAAAATGTATCAAGATTTCAAGTTCTTGATTTTCAATGTGTGGGGTTTTTTTTACATATAAAATTGACAGTAAAGTTTACTCTTTTGGTGACAGTTTTATGAGTGTTCATAAATGCACTGAAGCATGTAAATACCACTCCATTCGAGATGCAAAACAGTTGCAAAAAAGCATCCGTGTAGCCATCCCTTTGTAGTCAAATCCTTGCCCTACCCTTAACCCCCAGCAATCACTCCCTCTCTAGCTTTGCCTTTTCTAGATGCCATATAAATGGAATCAGAGAGTATATATCTTTCTGAGTTTGGCTTCTTTCACTTGGGATAATGCATCTGAGATTCGGCCATGTTGTTGCACGTATCAATAATGTGTTCCCTTTTCTTGCTGAGTGGCATTCCATTGTATGGACACCCCATTCTTGGTGTATCCAGTCTCCAGTTGAGGAGCGTTTTGGTTTGTTTCCAATTTGGGGCCACGATGAATACAAACTATGAATATTCCTGTATAGGTTTTTGTGTAAATCTCAGCTTTCGTTTCACTGGGGTACAGACTTAGGATTGTGATCTCATTATTGTCTTATCTGAGAGTGACTTTATTTTGCATTCATTCCTAAAGGACATATTTGTTGTGAATAGAATTGACTTGAGAGTTCTTCCCTTTCAACAGTTTAGTGATGGTGTCCTACTGCCTCAGGTCCCCCATGATTATCCTGCCTTACTGATTGTTCTTTAGTTTTGGCTCTCTTCACCAATCCTCCTGCTACGGCATTTTGTCCAGAGGTGGTTGCCTTTTGTATTTTGATTAGCGGTTTTAATTGTAATCGGAAGGAGAGATGGGCTGGGCTTTTTCCATCCTGGCTGGCTCCAGAAGTCCTGGTTCTCTATGGACCGCTGGGAAAAGATATTTTGCAAAGAAATTATAGCTTGATGACAGAAACCAGGACAGGGCTTCTTTTTCTCCGTACCCCGAGCATACTTATGATCCTAATGACTCATTCTGTGACCTCTAAGATGAACCATCTTCCCACCTGATGAAGCGAAGTAACCTTCTCTCTGTGGTGCCCAGTCTCCTGTTCTTGGCTTGCTTACAGCACACAGATCATCTTCCCTTGTCCATGAAACGATCACGTGCCACCACAGTCGTACTACTAGAAAGTGTAACAAAGATTTAGGAGAAAGGAGAAGTAAATTATTGGCTATAACCACACAAGTTGGGAAAATAGAAGCACTTTTTACTTGTACTATTACCAGTCTCTCTGTGAGCTTTATGTTGTCGCATCTTCCTTTTTTTGGCTCTAGAAACCAGGCAAGTGATTTTAAATGAAGATTCTATAAATACGAACTTGGTGACAGGAAGGAATATGGCAGGGATAGACAAATAAGGACAGGAGGTGGGGGAAATGGGACATGGAACAGGAACCCAGGAGGAAACTTAGAGCGTATCTTAGACTTTGGGCTCATCAGGATTTTCCTTCACCATTAGAAATAGGATCTATGGAGGTTGCCCTCCCTTTTCAGGTGTCAAAGTGTCATCGCTAGCAATTCCAGGAATGTCAGGAATGTTAGGACACCCGTTCTGTCTGTTGGTGACTGATGATCCCCGTCGTTTCTCTGGCACTCTTAAGGATGGGAAGATTTGGAAGCGGGGAAGGGAGAGTACAAGGATTAAAATCACCCCCAGTTAGCCGGGTTGACTCACTCTGAACTAGAGGATACAGCGAGCCTCGGCAGCCAAGTTGGCCAATCCCATTTCCGCATGGACGGCTTCCACCGGCTCACACATCACTTACAACCCTGAGTGTTTGTCACTTCTTTGTAGAGTGTGACTTGGCTTTCACTCGAGACCACGAGATGGTCTTTCCAGCACTTTTCTTTTGATCCCCAACATACTGGAAGGTAGTGAAAATAGCCCGGAGAATTAGGGACTAACGCATGGGACCTTCCTTTCTCTCCTTCTTTCCTTTCTCCTTCCTTTCCTTTTCCCCCTTTCCTCCTTCTGTCTTTGTCTGTCTTTCTATCCTTTTTCATCTCCGATGTATCTGCATGTCTGCGCCTGTGAAGATTTGCTTTGTTTTGAGAAGGCGAATTATGCAATTGTTGCCACGCCCCAGGCACATACGCACTTAACTCCCAGGCTAGGCTTGTTTTCTCAGTCTCTTTAAGTCATTTAGCTGGGGAATGTTCCATGGGAAAGACAAGAAGTTCAGTAATGCCATAGTTTGTTTCTCTCGGAGTAGCTTATCTTGCTGAACTCAATGCTTAATGAGGGGTGGGGGGTCGGGGAGGAAGGGTGAGAACGAGAAAGGGCGGGGTGTTCCTGTGGCTCTTTCAGCAGCTGTAAATTTTCGTAGCGCAGACAGCTGTCCTCAGGCTCTCTGTCTTCCCCCAAGTCTAATGAGGTGGTGTTGGGATTTGGGGGATGGGGAAAAGACCTGAAGATCTCTCCACATTCCCTTACTCTTTCTTCCCATGTACATTCTTGGCTGGTCTATAAAGACTTCATAATGGTCTTGGCTCAGTTTGTCCCTAAAAAATACACTGTCTCCTCAGCTCCTGCTGACAACCTGACATGTCCCTTCAGACTCTCGGCGGATCTGATGACAAGTAAGGTCTGACAGAAACATGGCGTCCACCATTCAAAACATGGCGTAGTTTACTAGTTTAGGATCATTTCCTTTGGAGACGTCTTATCTCTCTGAAAAAGAAAGAGGAAATTTTTCATCTTTGCATTGAATTTAGCTTCTTTATTTTTTATGAATGTATCCTGAACTCTCCGCGTCGGATGAGTTTGGATTGGTTGGATGTCCAGAGGAGTCAGAGTTGAAGGCTGAGACAATAGTTTAAAACAGTCGTGTCTCGACATTTTTTTATATTCATTAATTCAGTTTTAAATACTAGACTTTTTGCCAGCACTCTAGAAGGGATTGAAGTATCCTTAATGGGATTAAGAAACAACGCTGGCTAAACCGAAGTCATTATAACACAGTCATTTTTACAGTTCTAACCATGTCTCAGAATGTCCGTAAACAGCACGCCTATTCATTGTACCCTCCTTCAGCGCCGTGTTCCTGAGCAGAGCCGCACGCTGCCCCACCAGCAGTCTCTGATGTACCTCTAAGACAGAGTCCTCAAATACTTCAGGACGCAGCTCACCCCTGTTGCTGGCTTGACTAGGCACCATGTTATCTGCCTCTTACCCCTTACTAGCGGCAAGTCCCATCTCTTCTAAATGCATCTCCTGATAGACTCAGCTTAATATTTCATCAATGCCCATCCCCACCACAGTATGCATACACACTGGTGGCCAAGCCATATTTCAGGGGTCAGCAGACTTTTTCTGTAAAGAGCCAGATAGTAAATATTTTTTACTTCGCAGCACGATTGGTCCCAAACTTTCAGGGCAGCTTGTACAACCAAAGACAAAAGTTCATCTTATCCCACTCAGAAAGATTTCTCTGTTTACGCGCAGTCACCCAAGCCATGAAAGTGCCCTGTCCCAGGGCGCCTGGGTGGCTCAGTCGTTAAGCATCTGCCTTCGGCTCAGGTCATGATCCCAGGGTCCTGGGATCGAGCCCCGCATCGGGCTCCCTGCTCGGCGGGAAGCCTGCTTCGCCCTCTCCCACTCCCCCTGCTTGTGTTCCCTCTCTCGCTGTGTCTCTCTCTGTCAAATAAATAAAATCTTTAAAATAAAAAAAGAAAGTGCCCTGTCCCAACTCTCAGCATGAGCAGAAAAGCTGCACGCTACAGCACCCTACCTTCTCCAACAGGAAGGGGCAAGCAAAGATGCTTGTTATTGTTGGCACTCAGGATTTAAGGCTGGAACGAATACCAAGAACCAGGCAGACAGGAAAGAACTCAGGATAAAGAGACGCATTCATTCCACATAATGTGAAACAGTAATAAAAGATCTACAGAAGTTTACAATAGCCAAAAATGCTGGATTGTCAAAGTGCTAAAGTACACACAACACTTTTCCTGCCTAATAGTTAAACAAAGGATGTGGTAAATGCCAGAAGAACTAAGTACCCGTTAGAAGGTTGAAAGGGAAAATCATGACAGTTTTCAAAATTATTTTACAGAATGGAAAGAATAACCAGCTATCTAAATTTTATCAGGTGATGGTCTGTTTTGCAATGTTATTGGTAAAAAAGGCAATGAGCTTGTGCTAAACTATATATAGCTGAGGAGTTAGAAACCAGTCTCTCTCATTTGTAAAGACAAATAGTGTAACACTAGTAGGACCGAGG